TTACCGCTGAGCCACTTGGTCTTAGCAGCCAAGCATCTCACAGTGACTATGGTCTAGGTATTGGAGTTAGCAATTAATTATTACAGCAGGACAGCTTTTTTAAAATACGATTATTTCAGCTGGAGAGATGTCTCAGCAATTAAGAGCACTTGCTGCTCTTCCAGTGGTCCTGACTTCAATTCCCAGCAATCACATGGTGACTCACAACCGTCCTATAATAAGATATGGTGCCCTCTTCTGGCCTACCGGCATACATGCAGACAGAACACTGTATACATAATAAATAAAATCTTTGTAAGAAGATTGCTTTTAAAAAAGACTATTTTGTAATAATTTTATTATTTAGATGCTTACATTTAGAATTTTAGATAAAAGAACTTCTAGGACTTTACTAACGCAGATAACATTTATTTTGTGCTTATTGCTGTTGTTATTGTTAAGCCCAGGGAACTCAGACTAATCTTGAACTCTCTAACTGACACTGGCCTTGAATTCCAAATCTTCCTGCCTCCACTTGCTAAGTGGTGGGATTACAAGCATGTGACACTATGCCTGACTTTGCAAGGAATTTTTTTTTTAAAAAAATGATTTTTTTTTCTAACAAACCCAAACAGAAACAGAAATCTGGAAAAGAGTTGAAAAATGGGCAACCAGGGCTTGTTGATCTATAAAAAGAAAAGGGCCTGGCAGAAATATGTTTGGAGGAAAGTCACGAGTCTAAGAATACATATATCACCAAAGTTTGATAAGGTCTTTAAATATACTATAATTTCATGCTATGTCAACTAGACATTTCCACAGGAACTTTACATGGGCATCTGATCAACATCATTGAACCCACAACAGAATTCTGGGTGTTCCACTCCCAGACCTGCTTCCCACCCTGTGTGAGATCCACGGCTTACTTAGTTAATAGCTGTGTGACTCAGCCAGTCTGGGTACAACGACAAGGCTTTCTGTTTCTCATCTTCTTTCTCGAAATCAGTGAAAGGTTAAAGGAATCTTATTTTTCAAATGAGATGCAAACATCGCCAGGATCAAAATGGAGTCTCATTCGGGTAAAGATGGCCCAGGAGGTAAAGGTGCTTGTCACCACGCCTAACGACCTGAGTTCAACCGCTGGGACCCGCAGGGTGAAAGGAGGGGATGACTGACTTCTGATGTTTATCCATGGACCTCCACATGCCCGCCCTGTGTTGTACGTAGATAAATAAAACGTTAAAATGAAGCCAGGAGGTTGTGCAGAAAGGGTCCAGTACCCATGGCTGCCTAATAATCATCATTACAAAATATTCCGTCATATCCCAATGTTTGCAAGGAGAACTAGGCAACCTTCTGGAGAAGGATCTCTAAAGAAACTGTCCAATAATGAGCTAATACGGCCCCTGTTATAATCATTGTGGCCAACAAAAATGGTTTCACAAAACTGATGTAACCCTCTTCCATTAAAACCTCCCTTTTTCCTCTGCCTCTCGAACATGCCAGGAGTTTACTGACTGTTTCCCATATGGCTATTCCTTATTTTTTCTCTTTGAAAAATCTCTCATTTTGGTTTTAGTTTGGCTTGACGAAATAGTTGTTATCCTTGGGTTGTGGGATTATTATTGATTATTATTGACTTGTTTTTATGTCTTTATCCATTTCATTATTTTGTAATATTCAACAGCAAATGACAGAGAAAGATTTCCATCACCTTCTCAGCTTCATTGACCTATGGCTGGCTGGCTGCAGTCTCTCCCTGCCTCTCCCCTCTGCAAACCTCCCCCCAGCTTCAGTGAAAGCACTGTTGTAGTGATTGGCTTAAAATGTGCTCAGAGACATCTCTTCCAGGAACTGCTCTGGAGGCTGCCAGGAATGATCAAAAACCACCCTCTGTTCAAAGAGTGCAGACAGTCTTGCTTCTAAATTTCAAATAATAATAAGGTATCGGGTTTGTTTGTAATTTATCTTTTAAGAACTATATTTAGCTCCATGGGCAGAGTTCATGAGAGTCATTGACCCCTGTGTGTGCAGAGAAGTTGAGGACACAGCAGCTGAAGCCTCGGTGGCACTCCCCACTGCTGGCAATCTGCCAGCAGATAATGCTCCAGCATGCCATCTCCAACCACTGGCCACAGGAGAGCCTTTGCACCCAGTTATGCCAGCTCCACTTGTTAAATATGCTTTCTTTTTTCCATTTGATATTTTTGCTTCTTTATCAAAGATCAGGTGTTCAAAGATGTGTGGCTTGATATCCGGGTCTTCTATTCAGTTCCATTGGTCCTCCTGTCTGTTCTTATGCCAATACCAGGCTGTTTTCAGTACTGTAGCTCTGTAGTAGAGTTTGAAGTCAGGGATGGTAATGCCTCCAGAAGTTCTTTTATTGTACAGGATTGTTTTGGCTATCCTGGGGTTTTTTTTGCTTTTCCATATGAAGATGAGTACCATTCTTTCAGTGTCTTTGAAGAATTTTGGTGGGATTTTGATGGGCATTGCGATGACTCTGTACTTGTTTCTTTTAAACCTCAATTAACCCATCCCTATTGTTCTATGTGCTGCCCTGAGGCTTCTTTATCTCATCTACACACGGTTCATCCTGCTTTCCTGCTTCCTCCATGTCTGTCTGCCAGCCCTGCCTATCCTTCCTCTGCCTAGCTATCAGCCAGTCAGCTTCATTAGGTTTATTAGACCAATCAGATGCCTTAGGCAGGCAAGGTGCAACAGCAACGCATCTTTATGTAATAAACGCAGCACAAATAAATGTAATACTTCTTCACATAGTTAATTATTCTGCAACACAAACGAGTGCAGCCCATCTTTATATAGTTAAACAAATAGTCTATTTCACAACACATGAGAATGGCAAAATAAAAAAGATATTTCAGCTTAGAAATTGTTTAGTCCATTTCATTTCTAGACACTAAATGCAGACTCTTTTTTTGTTGTTGTTTTGGTTTTTTGTTTGTTTGTTTGTTTGTTTTTTGAGACAGGGTTTCTCTGTGTAGCTTTGGAGCATGTCCTGGAACTCGCTCTGTAGACCAGGCTGGCTTCAAATTCACAGAGATCCACCTGCCTGGGATTAAAAGCGTGCGCCACCCCCCCACACACACACCGGAAGGCAGACTCTTAAGTAAAATGATCTGGGATGGACATCTCTTCAACCATTTTCTACCAGAAAGGTTCAGTTCAGAGCGCACAGTTCCACAAGCTGACACACACAGTTGCTGATAGACAGATCAGTACAACTGGAACAAAAATCTAGTCTCAAAATATTGGTAGGATTATAAGCAATGTCCTGGCTGGGGGCTGGAGAGAAGGGTCAATGGTTCAGAGCTCAGACTGCTCTTACAGAGGACCAGAGTTCAGTCTCCACTACCCACTTCAAGTGACCTATGACCTCTTATAAGTCCCCTCTGAGGGCACCAGCAGTCACCTTCAGATACCCACATATATACAACACAGTGCACATAATTCAAAATAAAGTAAAAATTTAAAAAGGAAGGAAGCTCCCTAAACAGCGAGCCTGAACTCTGAGGGCTCAAAAGTGAAACAGATTGAAGCAAGGGATTCAGTAACAATTTCTTCACGTAATTACAATGAAAAGGCCAGAGTGTTGGCTACATGTTTGGATCAGAGAAAAAAGAAAGAAAAAGAAAAAAAACATATTAATAAAATTAGAGGTGGGGAGGGGAAGAAAACAGAATGTCTTTTACATCTGGCTGTTTTAACTTCTGTGGCATTCAGGGCTGATTGCTTTCCAGGCAGGACTGTCTAAATAAACCATGTGGATTGTTGAAAGGTATTAGGGACTGTGGAGTCCAACAAAGAGCAATACTTAAGTATGGAAACGGCAGAGAAAGCTATTGCTCTGTTCAATGAGCTGGTAACAAACAGCTGCGAAGAAATGATCACATGTGAAGAACATGAAGAAACAAGGATGGATGCCAAGCCCCGAGCAGCCCCAAGCAGCCCCGAGCAGCCCCGAGCAGCCCCGAGCAGCCCCGAGCAGCCCCGAGCTCCGGGCTAAGACGTCTTTTTGGGACAAAGGTTCCACTAAAGCACGTGTGAGATGTCTTTAGAGAGGCAAGGGACAAAGACAGGTATGGATTATCTACTGGGGACCAGATCTGGACGACAAGCCCAGGGGACCATATCTCACCGACCTTCATCCTCCGATGATTGAGGTACCAGGCTATTTCTGAAGCAAGGCTGCCCAGACAGCCCCTTAGCTTCCCAGCTCAAGCAGGTCAATTTCCTGAGACTGTTTCCCGGGTGACTTGGGAAGTGTTCTAATTTAATTTCTGTTCCAAAATACTGACAAAATGTGGTTTAGGGAGCTAGGTTGTGCTAGCTCATGCCTTTAATCCCAGCACTCAGGAGGCAGGGGCACACTGATCTCTGTGAGTTCAAGGCCAGCCTGGTCTACAGAGCAAGTTCCAGTACAGCCAGAGCTACAGAGAGAAACCTGTCTCGAATCTTGCCCCTCTCCCCCCCCCCCCGAAAAAAATTAGCAGAGAAAGGATTTATTTAACTTGGGAGTCTAGGTTATTATCCATCATGGTCTGGAAGGCAAGGGGAGGAACCCGAGGCAGAGAAGGGGGGGGGTGAGGAAAGAAGGGAGGGAGGGAAGGAGAGAGAGAGAGAGAGAGAGAGAGAGAGAGAGAATGCTTACTGTAGGACCCAGCCCATGAAAGGGTGCCACCCACAATTAGGATGCATCTTCTCACTTTAACACAAGAAATATCCCATCTAGGCAATCCCTTTTCCAGGCCAGTTTACCTTGTGCCAAGTTGTTAAAGAAGAGTAACCCTCGCAGGGTGTCCAATGGATCATTTTAAGGTGCATCTCTCTTCCTGACTCCGAGAGATCGGAAGGTCCCACCGCTGGTGAACACCTTGGTTATTCATGGAACAGAGGCGGAGTCCAGGTAGCTTCCAAGAGATGCCCAGGCAGCTGGGCACCAATTCGTTTCCAAACTGCTCCGGGTCACGTGGAAGGGGGCGGGAGCAGGAGCTCTGCCAGCCGAGGGGCGGGACCTGCCAGTTGAGGGGCAGGGCCGTGAGCAGAGCTTGGATTGAACATTCTGCAGCCCTGGTGCCCACTCCCAGCGCCTGCCTCCCGAGCCCGTGGCAATCGTGCGCTCCCCTTCATCATGCGGTGGCCGGGCAGCCAGGCGCTTCGGCACTTCTCCACCGGTCAGGTGAGTCCAACCAAAGCGGCATCCACGTCCTGGTCTTGCTTTCCAGACCTCAGGGGCTGCAGGGTCAGTGCGGCGGACGCTGGGGTGGGCAGTGATGCCCAGATCTTACAAGAAGGGACCGCAGCATTTTTCATACTGGGTGACTTCAGAGAAGACTGCTGCGGTATCCGGGATGGGGATTGTCAAGTGAGCCTTTGTCTCTTGCGGGGAATGAGTTGCAGACGAGGTTACTGAATGTGTCAGGTCCGGCTGGGATGACAAGCTGGGGAATGACAATGGGTAAAGGAACAGGAGCTAGCATCTGTTTTCTTCCGTTTTGCATTTCAACTGAGAGGTTCCCTGGCCCCGACGTGAACGGCATAAGATCGGGATTATGAATTAGAGTGAGCACTAGGCACCGGCCTTGCACGGTCTGTCAGATGCGACTGTGACTCAGGCAAGCTCAGCACTGCAAGCAGGGACTGCCTGGTGCTTCCCACCGGCCAGATTTCCAGGATCACCCAGCACTGCTGGAGTAGCCACGCTGGAACGTTGTTAAACTGTGGAGTAAGAATCCCCGGCCTTGGCCCAGCCCTCAGGCTTGAGATTGCATCAGCGCTTCTAGAAAAGGAATGGGAGCCGACACGTTGCAAGTGGCTCAGCCTTCAGCACTTGGGTGGGCCTTGGGAGAAGAGCCTTTCTGAGCCTAGACTGTTCAGGCTGTTCAGGCCAAGGAAAGCGGTTATCCTGTGTACATAATCTCTTTTGTAAGCAGTACGTCCCAGCTGTGTTATAAAGGATTTTGCCCCATTTGTTTTCTCTGACAGTGCCATATGTAAAACATGTATAAGGCAGAATCTTGAATTGTGCTAAGAAATTGTCCCTGGTTTTCATTCATTTCAAAGTTTTGTGTCACAAGACAGCAAGGGGCTGTCACCTCACCGGCCGTTGTCACCACCTGTCAGTGAGCTGTTGGAAAGCTGAAGGGAAGGAGTTTTGAAGGATGAGGATTTCCACGTAGGGTTACAGAAGTTTTCAGTAATAAAAACTGAACAGGCCAGGTGACAACAGAAATAGAAACACGGCTGGGAGAAGCAGCAGGCTGTCCCGGGGCCCACTGTCCCCAGGGGTACATGTGGAAAGGTGGCCACGGAGAGAGCGTAGAATCAGGCAGAGTTCTGCATGGTCAAAAGGAAGACATTTTACTCTAAAGATAATATAAATCACCTCCAGAATTATTTTAAAATGAACACACGCAGCTAATAAGACTACAAAATGGTATGAGCACTTTGGAAGCAAGCCAGTTCCCTTTGCAAAATTTTTAAATCACATTTTTACTTGAGGCGGTGACATGCCGTAGGACACATGGAGAAGTCAGAGGATGATTGTCAGTGAGTTGTTCTTTCCTTCCCTCTTGTTGGTCCCCAGGCTTGGCAGCAAGTGTCCCTACCAGACGAGCCTTCTTGCTGAGCAGTTTGGTATAGTGCTAAATGGTCTAAATGGTATCTCCGCCACAGGATGCTGCCTCCACTCTATCAGGTCTTTGTTTGTTTTCATGGTGTTAGGGATGGGGCCGGAGCCTCCCACGGGCAAAGCACACCCTGCACCCCTGAGTTATATGCTACGCTCCACACTTCTAGGTACCTATTAACCCACAAGAAATAAAACCTGTGTACAGATATTTATAGGGTGTTTCTATAATCATCCCTAATTGGAAAGATCATTCTCATCGGGTGATAGGACAAACAAAATGTAACAAAACCATGGATATAATGGATTTTACCTTGCATGGGGAGGGAAGAACCACAGGCGTCCACACTGGGAATGAAACTCAAATATGTATGTTAAACATATGAACCCCCTCCAAAGGTCTAGATAGTCACAGATCTGACGTTTTTGAAAGAGGATCTAGAGACAAAAGAAGTCACTAGATCTTAGGATCACTAGTAGGAAGGAGCAAGTATTGGTGACATAGGGAAATGGTAGCGAGTGCTGGAATGTCCACTGGTGTGGCAGTGCCTATGTGTTCTGGATTCATAGGCATGTACACAAGTACATAAGAAAGGGTATGTCGGGCTGCATTTAATGAAAGTTTGTGTTAGTCTGTGTGCTGTGGCTATTACAAAATGCAGGAGGCTGGGAACTTTATAAAAAGAGATTTATCTAGCTCTCAGTTCTTGAAGCCCAGGAGCATAATACCAGCATCTGCTGGGCTCTGGAGAGGCCTCAGAGAGATGACATTACAATGATGGGGACACACTGGAGTGGATGTGTCCCCCTTTCCTGAAAATCTAGAATGCTCTGTGGTCACCAGTTCCATGCCAGGAGTTCTCTCTCTCTCTCTCTCTCTCTCTCTCTCTCTCTCTCTCTCTCTCTCCTCCCCTATGCTAAGCATTCCTCTTTAGGCATCACCTCCTGACAGGCCTCTGTGTTGACATCATGAGTTGATTAAAAAAAAAAACTAAGAATTTTTTTGGGGGGGGGCGGCAGTGGTGGCGCACGCCTTTAATCCTAGATTTCAGGAGGCAGAGGCAAGTGGGTCTCTGTGAGTTTGAGGCCAGCCTGGTCTACAGAGCGAGTTCCAGGACAGCCAGGGGCCAGGTCTACACAGGGAAACTCTGTCTGGGGTGACTGGGAGGAGGGAGATGAGGAGGGGGAGACACAAACATGTTGTGGGGTGCTTGGGAGCTGGCTCAGAGGATTAGAGCACTTGCTGCTCTCACAGAGGATGGGAGTTGATTCCCAGCATCTGTGTTAGGGTCCATGCAGACTCCACAGCCAGGAGGGTGAAGAACAAAACTCGCATCAGTCTGATTTGGTAACCTGACCAAATCTAGGGCTTCTAGGGTCTGACCCAGATCGTTTGACGTCAGCCATGCGGAAGCACGGCCCAGTTTCGGAGGAAAGCATTCAGATAACAATTAGCTCAGCCCTGTGAGTGAAACTGTGACTTAGAAACAATGCTCAAGATGAGGGCCTGGGAGATGACCGAGGTAAATACAACACCCGTGGGTCTCAGGACTGCCCTGGCTCTAAGATGGCATAGAAGTCACTTAGGCTGTAAAGTACAGTGACATCGCTCACAACGATGAGTTTTATAGCCTAGAAGTAATGTTCAAGTTTTTTTTTTTGCGGGGAGTGGGGCATGGGAGTCTGGGATAAACGAACAATATTCTGGGGGATACATGGGTAGCCTCACCCAACATGTAGCAAAGGATTACCAGGTTGTAAACTACATCCCCCCCCCACCATTCCAGGAAAACAACTATGTACTTTGTTCCATGGAAGAGATAAGTTATGTGTTTAACTTTCTTGGCCTCTCCACTGCTTTTCTGTGTACACAAGGATTTTTTTTTCTTACCCTCTGCAAGTAACCCTGTTCAACAGCTCGCCACCACCTGTAACTCTGCGACCATCGTAACACTCAGGGCATAAACCCACGCAGACACATACACATTGATAACGTGAAAATAACGACCCTTTGAAAAGCGTTTTAAAAAGTGATGAGGGCTGGGGGTGTAGCTAGGGGCACTGGCCTGCCATGTACAGCAACTCAGCTTTGACCCCCCAGCACTGAGGAAAAAATATCAGAATGACAATTGATATGAATGCCTTCTTTATGTTCTGATGCAATAAGGAGACCGAGTTGCACAAGCTTGTCGCTGGTGTCTTAAATCTTGCGTAGCTTCATCTCTATCTGAAGCATGACACGCTGCTCCTGCTCAGGTGAGAGCTTGTCACACTAGCCAGAGCCTTTGCACACTCCAAATGCATCCTGGGAGCACACTGAATAGCAGCCGTTATTTTCCCCTCTGCTCCATTTTCAAGCACGAGAGGCATGCCTCGGAGCCGGCTCAAGCCTCGACAGAGCTGCCCCAGAGATGGGCTAACCCGGGGAGGAATCTACATCACCCTCCTGCCCACAGTCACTCAGGGAGTCCCACTGTCTTCATAACATGGTACAAATGATTGGAATCGATAAAGCTCTCTGCCGCTCCTGTCTCGATTGCTGCTTGTTAGTACTCCATGGCTCCCCATTCTGGACACTGTACCATTTCTTCATTTCCTTCTGCCTGGAACTCCCCAGGGGTCTCACATAATCCTCCCCACTTTCTTGGCCCGCTCCCAAAATGAAACCTCTGAGATTTAGCTAAAGAATTCCCTTAGAAACAGGGAGATGGATCCTCAGGTAAAAGTGCCGTGTTTAAATCCACACACTTGTGTAAAAAGTGTGTGTAGTCATGTGTATCTGTAATGTAAGAGATGGGAAGGCAGAGACGGGAAGGCAGAGATGGGGTGACTCCTGGGGCTAATTGGCGGTAAACTTAGCTGACTCAGTCAGCTCCAGGCTTGGTGAAGGATCCTGTCTAATATAAGAACATGGAGAGTGACCGAGGAGGACACTGACATCTGTCCTCCACACGTGCACACATATGACTACGTACACACACGACAAACGCATAGGCACCCTTTTGCCATCTCCTACCTGTGAAGAACTGCCTTAGGGTGATGTCGTCTCCTTTCGGAACCTCGCTGTGCCTACCTATCCTAGCACCGTGTCACTGATTTGTCTACTTGGATGTCTTCCCTCCCAACTGATGTCCCGAGGACAGGGACCACTCTCTTTCTATGCATCTTGTAGTACGGGGTGGGGGTGGGGTCAGAAAGGGAAACGCGCACTGAGAACAAACGAGAGCATCTTCCTGGTGGATTCCGCCAGCATGGTCAAGTCAGCACTCAGACTGTACTCGGAGACACGAAAGCAATAAATATCTTAAGTCCAGTCTTCTGGTATCCTGCGAATTCACAAATAGACATACAGTCCTGGAATCTGAGCGTTTCCCAGTGTTAAAAACTCACCTTGGGCTGTGGGGCTGGCTCTGTAGTAAAGTGCAAGCTTCAGGTTGAAGGCTGTGCGGTTGGTCGTTCACAACATCAGAGAGAGGGATGGGGTGTGGAGTCACCGGCCACGCTCAGAAAGTGGTCAGTGAATGCAACATGTTTGCTTTAGAGACTTTCTCGGCTGATCTGGAACTGAACTCCAACTAGCCAGATGACAGTCGAGTCGAATGTAGAAGCACACTGAAGGACTAGGACTCTTGACTTCTGTGTGCTTTGAAGTTGTCCACGCCCACCCCACTTTTGTTGGTAACGTTGGTTGTCAGGCCAAGGGTCTTGCACATGGCGAACAGATGCTCCCCCAGAAAGCTACGGCCTGGCCCCTCTGTGCATTTTGAAAGCAGAGTTTCAGATGCCTTAAAATATCTGGCATTAACAATTGTGTGGGGCGAAGTTGAAATTTTTGTAAGGTGGCCAATGGGAAGATTCTGTTTCTGCCCTAATTATAGGGTACAGAGTTCAAATAGTTATGGAGCATTTTTAATTTTTCTTGGTGTGTCTATGTGTGTGTGTGCTGGCCAGAGGTCAACTCTGGTTTGTTCCTTGGGTACTCTTTTCTTTCTTTCTTTCTTTCTTTCTTTCTTTCTTTCTTCCTTCCTTCCTTCCTTCCTTCCTTCCTTCCTTCCTTCCTTTCTTTCTTTCTTTCTTTTTCGAGATATGGTTTCTCTGTGTAACAGTCCTGGTTGTACAGGAACTCACTTAGTAGACCAGGCTGACCTCAAACTCACTGAGAACCACCTGCCTCTGCCTCCCAAGTGCTAGGATTAAAGGTGTATGCCACCACCACCTGGCTGGTTTTATTTCTTAATAAGTGTGTGCATGTGTGTCCTTTGTGTGTATGTGTGTGTTTCGTGTGTGTGTGTGTGTGTGTGTGTGTGTGTACCCATGGAGGTCAGAAGAGGATTGGATCTCCTGGAGCTGGAGTTGCAGGTGTTCCTGAGCCACCTAACACGGGAGTAGGGAACAGAACATGGGTCCCCTGGAGGAGCAGCAAGTGCTCTAAACGACCAAGCCAGCTCTCCAGCCGCCCATCTACCTTGTTTTTGAGACAGGGTCTCTCATGGCCTGGAGCTTGCCTATTCAGCTGGACTGGTGGGCTAGCAAGCTCTAGTAATCCCCCTGCCTCTGTTTCCTCTGCACTGAAATTACACATGCATGCCCCCATATCCAGCTTTTTCAGTATTAAATTTTTGAGCATTTCATACATGAGTCTCTGTGTTTATAACACAGGTACTCCTCCTTCTCTCCCTCCAACTCTTCCCATGTGCCACTTCAACTATTATTGTTACATACATGGTGTGTGTGTGTGTGTGTGTGTGTGTGTGTAAAACCTTCTGAGTCCATACATGTGTGTGTAAAAGCTTCTGAGTCTATACGTGTGTGTAAAACCTTCTGAGTCCATACGTGTGTGTGTAAAACCTTCTGAGTCCATACATGTGTGTGTAAAAGCTTCTGAGTCTATACATGTGTGTGTAAAACCTTCTGAGTCCATACATGTGTGTGTGTAAAAGCTTCTGGGTCCATATGTGTGTGTGTGTGTTTGTGAGTGTGCAAAAACCTTCTGAGTCCATACATACTTAGGGCTGGTCACTTGGGATTTGAGGTGCAGGCATTGTATTATAGTTGGGGCTAAGCCTCCCATGGCCAGTTCTGCATTTTAACCAACCATGTGGCTTTCTATAGTTATTTCCATCCACTATGAATAAAAAGCTCCTTTGATGAGGGTCTAGAGCTACACTTATCTGTGGATACAAGGATGCGTATTTAGGATGCAGCTGGGACTCAGACTAGTTTAGTAAAGAGGCAGTGCTGTAGGGTCTTCTAAGGTCGACCACCTCACTAGCCACGGGGAGTTGGCTAGGTTTATTTTACCAGCCATAAATTCCCTATTTAGAGAGTCTTAAGTCCTTGCCCAATCAAGCTGTTGGTTGCACCAAGATGTGAGCACCACCATTGCACCTTTCGGGATATCCTGACGTAATGATTGTTGTGGTATGCAAATGTCACAGCTATTGTTGATTTTCTCCCCTGGCTGCTGGCAATGCCCCCTCTAGTGCTATGAAAGTTAGTCCTCAGGGAAGGGGCTGTACCTAGAGGTTTCTCTCCCGCCGGCCAGATCCCAAATAACCACTCTGAGGATTAATATTAATTACAAACTGTTTAGCCGATGGCTTAGGCTTCTTACTGGCTAGCTCTACATATTTAAATGAACACATTTCTAATAATCTGTGTATCTCCATGTGCCCTGTGACTTACCGGTAATGTTCTGGCATCTTAATCCTCCGGTGGCTGCTAGCGTCTCTCTTGACTCTACCTTCTTTCTCCCTATATTCGGTTTGTCTTTCCCACCTGGCTATATTCTGCCCTGCCATAGGCCGAAGTAGCTTTATTCATCAGCCAATAAAAGCAACACATATTCACAGCATACAGAAAGGTATCCTGTATCAAGAGGCATTGCAGCCAAATCCAGCTTGATTTTTCTGAATCCTATGTCTGAAGTACATGGCATTTTCAGCAACGGGGTCTTGCCTTCAGCTTCTGAGAGGCAATCAAGGGCAACAGTAACAGTGTTGTTTTGGGAGTTTCTTGGACTCCCCTGAGCAACAACTTGACAGAAGGTTTCTCGTGTCTGAAACGGTGGTTTTTGTTAGAGTCTAGTTTTCAGGAGCATTCTTACCCCAGTTGGCCAGCAAAATTGCAAGTTACTAAGTAGCCGAGGCTGGTCTTGTACTATCAACCCTCCAGTCACCATAGCCACCAGACTAATCATTTTGTGTTGGAGGTCTTGGAACTTCTGGCCCTTGAGACATCTTACAACGTTTCCCGTGATCTGTCATCCGGTGTTTTCTGCCCACGACGTCAGCTGCCGCCCTCACTGCATTCTTTCACAGGTTTATTTCAAAAACAAGCTGAAGTTGGCGCTTATTGGCCAGAGCCTCTTCGGAAAGGAAGTCTACAGCCACCTCCAGAAAGAGGGTCACCGAGTAGTGGGGGTGTTCACAGTTCCAGACAAGGATGGGAAGGCTGACCCTCTAGGTGAGTACACCCGGGAACACTGGGTCAAACCCTCCTGCCGTGGCTCCTGGAAATGACCTAGGATGGATATATAGAGGGCTGACATACATACACAGGTATACACACACACACACACACACAACATATATACACACCAAATGAATGAATAAAAATGTAATGAAAGAGCTGGGTGGTGGTGGCGCACGCCTTTAATCCCAGCACTTGGGAGGCAGAGGCAGGCGGATCTCTGTGAGTTCGAGGCCAGCCTGGTCTACAAGAGCTAGTTGCAGGACAGGAACCAAAAAGCTACGGAGAAACCCTGTCTGGAAAATCCAAAAAAAAAAAAAAAAAAAGTAATGAAAGTCAGTATCTGAAAATATGATCTACTCACCAGCCTCTGAACGCATTATGCTTTTAACACGTAGATGCACGCCAACACATAGATGCACGCCCCTCTAGACAGACGGACGAACCTGATGCAAACGACATCCAACTCTAGTCACGGTCCAAGTTCCCCTCTGTGACGCTTAACCTGTCAAAGTTTTGTGAAACTGTGCTGTTACCGTGTGAGAATAGAAGAACATGACCTGAGGGGGGGGGGGAAACCTCTTCATTTATTTATTTATTTATTTATTTTTATTTATTTATTTTGTGCTCAGCTTTGGCTGCAGAGAAAGATGGGACCCCTGTGTTCAAGTTCCCTAGATGGAGAGTCAAGGGTAAAACCATCAAGGAGGTAGCGGAAGCCTACCAGTCAGTGGGCGCCGAGCTCAACGTGCTCCCCTTCTGCACACAGTTCATCCCCATGGATGTCATTGACAGCCCAAAGCATGGCTCCATCATCTACCACCCTTCCCTCCTTCCCAGGCACAGGGGCGCTTCTGCCATCAACTGGTGAGACTTGGAATAGCAGGAACGGTGGCTGTTCCCACAGGCTGTGTTATGTATTTCCTACACAGTGCAGACACTGGGGGTGCTTGGGGCTGGAGAGATGGCTTAGTCAGCAAAGCGCTGTGTAGACAGGCGTTTCTATCCCACATGTCCCGCAGTCATTCAGTCCCAAATAAACACACACAGGCTTATACCAATTATAAACTATTTGGCCTATTGTTCAAGCTTATTACTAACTAATTCTTACGACTTAAATTAACCCATGTTCAGCCGTGTGACTTGGTACGTTTTCTCAGCGAGACACTATGCTTCTGTGGTCAGATGAATGAGATCAGTTTGATCATGCTGGCTTACGGCAGGACTTCTTTGCACTTTTGACATCTACTTTAACGGTCTTCACAGTGTGTGATGCTCTCGGAAAATTTTTTCCTTTTTATGCGAAGGATCTCAAGTACATTTAGGAAGATGTGAGTCACTTTAATCTGCCTTCTTTATCATCCATCCCCTTCCTTTGACTCAAAGTTCCTCAAAGAGACGGTCCAACATCCTCATTTCTGTGTCGAGCACAGCTCCTGGCACTCCCTAAGCTCCTAACACCACAGCACCCCATGCTGAGGCTGAACTGGGTCTCCCCGCCATGTCCACCTTCATTCTCCTATCTGCCACCTTCCTGATAAGCTTGGCATCAGCTATCGAGTATACAAAAACAACTACGTGTGGATTAAATGGCTGAAAAAAAAAATACTTGTTGTTTAAAAGTTGATGCCAGGAATTAATTTTCTTTTGGTCTTATAAATAATAGTAGTAGATACCTTTGCATTTAAATCTTTTCTTTTTCATTTTGAATTATTTCTATATGCAGAATCATTGGGAAACAGCATATGAGTATTTTCAAGGCGCCTGGCAGTGTAATGCTAATTCCTCAATATTTCTGAAAACATTTAGCGCTTGCTTACTTGATCACTCAGAGAAATTCAGATGATTCAGAGAGGGGGCTAAGACTGGGGAGACAGCTCAGAAGTTAAGATCACTTGCAGCTGTTACAGATGTCCAGAGTTTGGTTCCAGCACCCACATCAGGTAGCTCTCAGCAGCCTGTGGCTTCAATCCCAGGGGATCTGATGTCCTCTTCTGGCCTCTGTGGTCATCTCACAGACATGGCATGCACTCAGAGACATAGGCATAAAAATTAGAATAAATCTAAAAAGACGATTTAGGGCACTGCTGAACAGACATTTTACAACTTCTCTTGTGTGTGCCTGTGCTCTGATATCAGCATTAGGCATTTTTCACATACCCTGTGTATTGTTTGCATTATAAGCCACTGTAGAGCTAAGTATGTCTCTCAGTCTAGGCTGTATACAGAATGCAGTATGAACAGCTGATTTTACCAACTGACTTTTACTACAGTTTATGCAGCCAGCCTAGAGCTAATTCTAACCTTGAGGGACACTTTACTCTACGATGCAGCCTAAATCAACCGCCGGTTTTCCTTTGCACGTTGTGCTGGGTGCCCTCTGTTTTAGTCTCCACTCTATTCTAACACATGACCAAGCGGGACGTAGGAAGGACATGCCGGGATGAAAATTACTCAGTCCCAAAGAAGAGGAAAACTGCCAGGCGTGGCAGTAAGGCCGGATTCTGACGCCTTTTAAGAGGCACCACCAGCCATGCAAGACATAATGCGGATGCATGGACAGGGACCGTGGGGGGGGGGGTGTTGCCTGCTGTGAGCTCTGTTATCAACTTCTCAGGCCACTCACTCACTACCTGTTTTTTCCATTGCAATTCCCCTTTCCTTTAACGTGACGAATTCTTGACACAAGCAGCTACCGTTTTAAGTTGAAACCTCTTCTTTCTGCAGGACCCTGATCTCGGGAGATCAGCAAGCTGGGTTTTCTGTTTTCTGGGCAGATGATGGTTTAGATACAGGACCTATCCTTCTTCAGAGAGCATGCGACGTCAAACCCAATGACACAGTGGATGCCCTTTATAACCGGTTCCTTTTTCCCGAGGGAATCAAGGCCATGGTCAGTATAATAACACCACCAACAACAATGTAGGAAACCTCTAAGGCTGGAGGGCTGGTTTTTTTTCGTCGAGAGTTTGCTAAGCCAGGCATGCAGGCACACGCTTGTGACCCTCGGTGGTTCACGCCTGTAGTGTCAGTGTGAGCTTGAAACTCACTCTGTGATGCTGACAAGAAAGAAAGGGGATGGGCAGGACGACAGCCAAAGTGTCCCATCCTTTTTGTTAAATACCTGAGTCGTCAACCCTGTAGATAATGGCTGATTATAAGGAAGTATAAAGAATCTTTCAGTTTTTTTATCTGAGTAACAGACTTACTGTAAAGGTATTTTACTTAGTCTACATAACAGAGTGACATATGATGACTGATTTAATCATTCAGATGTGCTCAGGATGGAGGAGAAACACTTCGAGCATACATATTGCCCATGAAGTAAAATATTTTGTCCATAAACATATCCAGAGATTCAGCAAGTCATTTGGTTGTCCTCCCCCTCCCCCGCCCCAACCAGAATTTGGTAGGGAAAGCAGCCAGGTTCTATTAAGTCACCACTGATGTGAGGGATAATTGAGACCTTTGTTTATGTCACTTAGTGATCAATTCAGAGGGTCCTTGGTGTTACAGAGACTCATCTGCAATTCCTGTTCTACCACTTACACATGATGCTTTGAACAGACAGCCAGCTCCTTGGCCTCTATGGCCTTGGTTCCTTCCTATGTAGATTGTGGAAAACACTATCTGGCTTGTAGAAGTATTTTCAGAGTTAAACAACATCATTCGTGTAAAGAACCTAGCGCACGGCAGGTGCTCAAAACAGAACATGATAATCCAAACAGCACACAGGCACACGGGGACGTCCCAGTGAAGTGTCAGGAAAGAGAATGTAGACACACCTCAAAGAAGTGAAGTCACGGTGGCGAGCATCACCATGACAACACAACAGCCCATTTCCTCCGTTCCTCGCCCTCCTGTCTTTTTGGGTTGAACTTGAGGCCTTGCAGATGCTAAGCATGAGCTTTGCCCCTGAGCTCCACCTCCAGCCCCAACAATAGTCCATGCTTCAGTGCAGGCTTGATCTTGGGAGTGGGCACGCCTTGTGGGCACGACATCCTTCCAGGCATGTCGAACCTTTCGCTGTTGTGAAATGACACTGAGATCTACAAAGTTCACACTCAAAAGATGTGCAGTTTTATTATCAAAAGAGAAAAAAGAAATCAGCCGGATAGGGTGACGCACGCCTTTACTGCCAGCACTGGGGAGGCTGAAGCAGGAGGATCTCTGAGATCAAAGCCAGCCTGGTTATAGAGAGGGTTCCAGGACAGCCAGAACCACACAGAAAAACCTTTCTCAAAAACAAACACACACACACACACACACACAAAAAAAAAACTTTTGGTGCTTTAAGCTAGTTTATGTATGAAGTCGTGTTTGGTGGCATTCATAACGATCCCTAGCCAAATGTGGCTGGACCTAGAATTAGTTGTCTGGCTGTTCCTGAAACTCCACAACTTTCTCATCTACAAACCAGGAAAGTGGTACACACCTGTACACACAGATACCTGTGATGTCTCCAGGGGGTAACTTACATAAGTAGCCGTGTGTGTGCCATGGACGGCAGCTGTCACCACAGCCTGGCTGACTTCTGAGCAGTTCTATGCAGTCAGTCTGTTGGACACAGATTTCCATGCCTTTGTGGATCACGGGGCTGTAACACCAGTGATGCTCTCGGCTTTAGGTAGAAGCTGTGCAACTCATAGCTGATGGAAAAGCTCCTCGCGTTCCCCAGCCAGAAGAGGGGGCGACATACGAAGGGATCCAGAGGAAGGAAAATGCCAAGGTACCTACCTCGATAATGCACAGCCAGGTCACAGCCCTCCGCCTTTGAGAAGTTCCCAGTGTACCATTTCCTGGCCTCCAAGTCAGCTGGCCTTATGTGTCCCCCATACCTGTCCTGATGGAGAAAAAGGTTAGCTAGCCCTTACAGTCTTTATTTGTGCCCACCTAGATTTCTTGGGACCAGCCTGCTGAAGTTTTGCATAACTGGATTCGAGGTCATGATAAGGTCCCTGGAGCCTGGGCAGAGATAAATGGACAGGTATGCGTTCACAGGATACATTTCCCCCATACAAGCTCGCGCTCTCTCTCTCTCTCTCTCTCTCTCTCTCTCTCTCTCTCTCTCTCTCTTTCTCTCTTTCTCTCTCTCTCTCTCTCGTGTGTGTGTGTGTGTGTGTGTGTGTGTGTACTACTGGCATTTAGACCTAAGCCTTGCACTATGACACTGAGCTACACTTTGGGGTCCATCTCCCGGGCTGACTTCAGATTTGTGCTCCTCCTTTAACTGCAGCTGTGGGAAGGCAGAGGCAGACAGACTTCTGGGAGTTGGAGGCCAGCCTGGTGTACACAGTGAGACCCTGTCTGGAAAGGAAGGAAATAAGGAAGGAGGGAGGAAAGAAAGGAAGGTTAAATGAGTTGATACATGTCCATTTCCTGATATGCAGGAAATACTCAATACATATTAATCATTACAGCTTAATAAATAACCGAATTTATAGAATGATAATTTAAAAAAAAATCAGTGTCCTTTGCTCTTGGCCACCATCCTTTTCTAGTCCTGTTTTCTTGAACTGATCCCCAAAACAGCCTGCACTGCTCACCCCTCATCACCCTGCACTGGAAGGGTCCCCATGTTCCTTGGGGCTCAGTTGCAGAGTGACTGCCTAGCATATACGAAGCCCTTGAGTTCAGCCCTGTCTTAGTTAGGGTTCCCTATTGCTGTGATAAAACATCGAGCAAAAGGAACCTGGGGAGGAAAGGGTTTATGTCATCTTCCACCTCCAGGAAATGGTCCATCACTGAGGGAAGCCAGGGCAGGAGCCTGGAGGCAGGAGCCTAAGCAGAGGCCATGGAGGAGAGCTGCTGCCCGGCTTTCTCCTCGTGGATTACTCAGCCTGCTTTCTTAACCCGCCCAGGGGTGGCATGGGCCCTCCCATGGCAATCATCAATTAAGAAAATGCCCCATGACCATGGGAGAGGGGAGAAGGGAGGGGAGCCGAGAAAAAATATATAGCTCAATAAAAACAATAAAAAATTAAAAATAAAAATGCCCCACAGATATACCTGTAGGCCAATCTGATGGAGACATTTTCTCAATTGAGGTTCCTTTTCTCAGATAACTCTAGCTTGTGCCAAGTTAACAAACAAACAAAAAAGAACCAGGACAGTCCCCAGCACTACAAGCCACCCCCCCCCCCGGGTCCACACCACACACACACACACACACACACACACACACACACACACACCTTTGTGGTAAAAAAAAGGCTCCACTTTTTCTCTTTTAATCTCATTCAGTTTGAATGACACACTCATATCACCTGTTTGTGCAACTGTTTGAACCTTTTCCTTGTATGTGTATATATGTGCTCCTGTGTGTGTGTGTGTGTGTGTGCATTTGTGAGGGAGTATAGTGTGTGAGGCCATATATGTGTGAGAACAGGTGCATACATGTGCATAAGTGTGTCTGGAGGGCAGAGACTGGTGTTGATTTGCTCTTCTGCTTTGGTTTTGAGATATTTTCTCCCTGAGCCTGGAACTCAGCAATGGGCTAGACCGGCTGGCCACTGCGCCCCTGGGATCCTCCAGTCTCTGCCTCTCCAGCACGGGGATTGCAGGCCAGCGCCATCACACTCTGCTTTTTACCTGGGTGTCAAACTCAGGTCCTCAAGCTTATGCACCAAGCACTTGTATAAACAGAGACGGTTTTTACGTTTTCCAGCTGCCCAGAACCAAATAATCACCCAGAAACTATATTAATTACAACACTGTTTGGCCAATAGCTTGGGCGTATTCCTAGCTAGCTTTTACATCTTAAATTAACCCATTTCTATTATTTTATATTTTACCACAAGGCTTGTGGTTGCTACCTCTTGCTTCTTGGGCAGCTACACAGCGTCTCCCTAACTCCGCCTACTCTTTCTCTCTCTCTTTGGATTTCCTGCCTGGCTATATTCTGCCCTACCATAGGCCAAAGCAGCTTCTTTATTAACCAAGGGTAATAAAACATATTCATACCATACAGAGGGGAATCCCACATCACACTTGAGCAGCTGAGAATTTCCCCAGCCCCCATCTTTAAGACTTTAAAAAATTATTTATTCATTTTACTTGTACATATGTGCATGCCTGAGTGTGTATGTGTATACCACTTGTGTGTAGCAGCCCTCAGAGCCAGAAGGCATTGGATGTCCTAGAACTGGAGTTACAGTGGTTGTTAAGGGGTCACGTGGGTGCTAACAGGCACCCTTGACCCCCAAGCCTCTCTCCAATGTCTCTGAGACATTGATCACACATTTGCAGAGATTCTCATTTGTCCCCTTTCTACTGATGCTTGGTTCAGTCTCACCAAATAAACACACATGGCAAAACCGTGTCTCAACGTTACTACACAAATCTGAACTTCAGTGTTTGCACACACGGTGACGATTGTGTGTGTACACACACATACACACACACACACACACACACACACACACACACACCGGGCAGTGGCTTTACCTCCCGAGTTCACAGGGTTTGATGTCTTCCTCAGATGGTGACCTTCTACGGTTCATCGTTATTAACTAGCTCCGTGCCTGCTGGAGAGCCATTGGACATTAGAGGATCCGAGAAGCCTGGCCTTGTTACCAAAAATGGACTGGTTCTTTTTGGTAACGATGGAAAAGCAGTGAGTGTATAAAGTCACTTTCTCTGTATTCCTTCTATAACCGCAGCTCACAGGGGATAGCTCCTCCTGCTTTCACTGGGAGGTGGGAGGGTCACGGTGTGTGCCCTGCCTCCCAAGATGAGAGGCATTTGCATGTCCAAGGACAAGGTTCCTCAGGAAGACCCCATGGACGCTCACAGTGAGAAGAGGGAGATGGGGACCTCTGCCCTTCCACCTGATGGCTTGGGAAGGATGGTTTCCCCTGCTGGTTCTCAGATCCATATTTGTCTCCCCCTGCCAGAGATTGAGATGATCCAGTGAAACTCAAGTGGACTCTTCCATCGTCCACTGCTGTCACCTCCCCAGGCCAGCCCCACCCGTGTGGCTATCTCTGGGTAGTTTACAGAACTGTCCCCACTTAAGGATAAATAAATTGTTATGTTACAATGTTTTAGTGCCAGCTGTTGCTGGGTCTTTTTTATTTGTTTGTTTGGTTTTTGTTTTGTTTTGCTTTTGTCTTTCAAGACAGGGTTTCTTTGTGTGGCCCTGGCTGTCCTAGAACTAGCTCTGTAGACGGAGCTGGCCTCAGATTCACAGAGATTCACCTGCCTCTGCTTCCTGAATGCCGGGATTAAAGGCTTGCGCCACCACCTGGTCACTGGTAGATCTTAAACCAGCTCTGCTATTTACTACCTGGGTGACACTAGACTATGAGTTTCACTAAGCCTCCACTACCGCAACAGCAAAGCAGGCACAAAAGCATTCATCTCCGTCAGATCCCAGCACATGCGTCCACAGTGCACCACAGTGACTGCGTGCTGGCAGCGGTGGAGTGTCCTGGGGGCATCTAGCATCCTGTAGGAGTCTTTGGTCCAGGCATCTGTAACCACAATGCAAGTTTTCCATAGGTGTACCATTTATCCATTTTGAGATGCATCTGGCCCTAGAATTGACTCTATCCTTTTTTCCTGCCACCATTAAGATGTCATTTGAGTCCTCTTAGACACAGGGAAGTAGTTCAACCATATGTTTGTATTATCCAAACAAGCCGGTCTCCACACCCATCTAACACAGTAGACTCTGCCTCCCAATAGCCTCGCTCTCAGACTGATCAGATGCTCAGCTCTTTCTCCTGCTGTCTCGTAGCTGGTGGTGAAAAACCTGCAGTTTGAAGATGGGAAGATGATTCCTGCCTCCCAGTACTTCTCGTCGGGTGAGACCTCGGCGGTAGAACTCACAGCAGAGGAGGTGAAGGTGGCAGAGACCATTAAGGTGAACATGTGTTGTCCATAATCGACTCTTACCTGGGAAAAAAAGACCTGTTTGTAGCTGGTGTAATTATCCTTAGCGCAGTAGAAGCGTGACTTTTTCTCCTGGGACATGGAGGACAAGGTCGAACCATTCAGAAACCCAGGCTGGGGGTCATTTGATGCTAACGAGAAGGACACAACCTCACATGTAATTGCACGTCATTTTTCACAGGACGAGACTGGTGGGGTGGAATGCTCCCGTCCTGTCATGTTTACTGGGCATCTGGGGCGAACAATACCTCCACGTTGCATCTTCATGTAAAGGGCAAAGAGGTCTCTGCCCCGGGATTCCACATGGTCCTTCTTCATGAAAGTGGCCCTTTCTGTGCAGGTTATCTGGGCTCGAATTCTAAGCAACGTCCCTGTGATTGATGACTCCACAGACTTCTTTAAATCTGGAGCCAGCTCAATGGATGTTGTGAGGTAAAGGCACTACCTCTGTGAGTACGCACGAATGAGCACACACACATACATTTCCCTGAGAACGTGTCCATCATAATTCCCTCTTCTTTGTGGTTTTTGTTGTTGTTTCCATGGTCACACTCACAGGTCTGGTTATTTATTGGTTGCTAATCAGACTATTTTCACGTTTCTTTAATGATTTGAATTGTTTGCTATTTTAAAAAAATATATTATTTTTGTTTATGTGTATGTGTATGTGTGTGTGTGTGTGTGTGTGTGTGTGTGAGAGAGAGAGAGAGAGAGAGAGAGAGAGAGAGAGAGAGAGAGAGAGAATGCCAGTGTCAGTGTGTGCAGGTACCGAGAGAGTCCAAAAGAAGGCACTGGTCCCCTGAAGCTGGAGTTACGGGCAGTTATGAACTGTTCAAATGGTGCTGAAACCAAACTCAGGTCCTCTGCAGGAGGATGTGCCCTTCACTGCTGAGTCGTTCTGCAGCCCCAGGACACTAATTCTTACACCTTACCTGCCTGTGTCCCAATATGACCATTTCCCACCCTCTCCCACTCCCCCTGACATCTCTCTCTCTTAGTCACGGAGTAACCAAAAGTATTCATTTCATGAGCATGTGACATCATCAATGTCAAGAGGATTGGGCCTATAAACTATAATTTCGTGAGTTATGAGAAAATTCTGATTAGCTTGGTAAGGATTCCAAGACTGTATTGTAGTTATTCTTAATTATGTATTCAGTGTTCTGCCTGCATGTATCCCTGCAGGCGAGAAGAGGACACCAAATCTCATTACAGGTGATTGTGAGCACATGTGGTTGCTGGGAATTGAACTCAGGACCTTTGGAAGAGCAGGCAAAGCTATTAACCACGGAGCCATCTCTCCAGCCTACTGTAGTTATTCTTATCTACTGCTGACAAGATGCCTGCAGGAATTGCCCATTTCCTGTTGGTCTAACTTGTTCACTCATTATTGTCTTTATAAAAATCATGTATGTATTTGTGTTGGTGTGCCTGGGCAACCACATACCATGTGGAAATCAGAGCAAACTTGTGGGAGTCTGTTCTTGCCTTCTGCCATTTGGGTTTCTGGGTTCAAACTATTCGTTTATTGTTAAGAGCCTTTGTCCACTTTATCTGCAAGGACTTGTGGATGACACTGGCCTACTAGGGGTGCTATCTAGTGCCTAAGTTAAACATGTAAGACAAACAAATTATTCTTGTAGATAGACTACAGAAAATATTCTCTACTGCATTCAGGTATCACGGTCTTTCCAATTAGAAAGTTGCCTCTTTTTTTTCTTCTCATTTTTTGATTTCATTTGAAAGGTTCAGACTTCTATGCTCCTAACTATTTACTGTAGCTAAAACATCTTTCCTTAACTTCCTTATTTATAGTTGTGGGAAAACTTAAAAAGAAACAGAACTGTCTCTGTGTGTGCTTGTGTGCATGCTTGTCTTACATGCATCACATGCAAGCAGTCCACAGCGGCCGGAAGGGACTGAGTTACAGGTTGTTGTGAGCTGTCCTATGAGGGTGATGGGCACTGCACCCAGGTCCTCTGTGAGAGCAGAAAGTGTGTCTCTCCAGGATGCCCCACAACTTATCTTCTGTAGCTGCCACGTGGACAATCTTGTACGATGCAAACAGGACTCACTCCCAAATCTCTTGACCAATGCTAGCAGACAGGCCGTGAGACTCTAACATGAGCTGGTTCTCACTTTAAGGCTGGTGGAAGAGGTCAGACAGAAGTGTGGTGGCCTTCAACTGCAGAACGAAGACGTCTACATGGCCACCAAGTTTGAGGATTTCATCCAGAAGGTCGTGCGGAAACTGAGAGGAGAGGATGAAGAGGTGGAGCTGGTGGTGGATTACGTAAGTGTCTCGTTGATGCTCAGCTCCAAACACTTCCCATCCACTGCTACAGAGAGCATGTGTGCTTGCATTTATACTGATGGCCTTTAAGACTAGTTGTATTGAGATTCTATTAGGGCGTCACATAATTTACCCGGTTAAATTTGCCATTCAGTGATTTTTAGAACATTCACACATTTTGCAATCATCATCAACACTGCTATCTTATTTTAGAATATTTTTATCACTCCACAAGGAAAGACTAGACCCATTGTTGACCATCTTACGCTTCTCTGCTCACCTACTCTGTATCCAGGCCCTCAGAAACCGCAGTCTCTTCTCTGTGTCTATGGATTTGCCATAGAGTAAATATTTTATATAGGAATATGTGGGCAGCATGTGGCCTTTTGTATCTGTTCTCTTTCACCTGGCACCTGCTCAAGGTGCACCCTGTAGCAGTTATCATCACTTCAACTTTCTTTCTGGCCAATACTATCTCACTGTGTGCAGGTACACTTCCTTTGTAAAATCTATGCTCTCTTTTTATAAATCTATTCATCATACTACATGTGTTTAGACCATTTCCCTTGGGCAGCCATTATTATTATACTGATATAAAACTTCAAGGCGTATGCTTTGACGTGAACACACATCTTCAGTTCTCTTGGGTGCCGTGCTGAGAGTGGAGCGGGGGACTCAGACTGTAACCCTGTGTTTAATCTTTTGAGGAATCGCCAACAGCAGTCATCATATCATCTAGGAACCCCGCCACCAGTGTAATGGAGAGATCTCACTTCTCCGCGCCCTTTCTCAAGCTCCATCGCTTGCCTCTCTCTCTTTACTTTCTCGGCTGGTGTGTGAAAAGCACCCCATTATGGTTTGGATTTTACACTTGCTAATGGACAATGACATTCAGCATCTTTTCAAGTGTTTGCTGTGCATTTGTTTATTTTTCTTTGTGAAAATGCTTATTCAAATCCTTTGTCCATTTAAAAAAATTGGCTTTTGAGATTTTTTAGAGTCAAAGTCCTCTGTCAATTCTGGACACTCAATTCTTATGAGATATGAATTTGTGAATATTTTCTTTTGCCCTATGAATGGGTTCTCTCTCTCTCTGTGTGCGCGTGTGTGTATGCTGATTTGTTTTTTCCCTTTCTTGCTAACATCCTTTGACACAAAACAAACTTTTTTCCAAGACAGTATCTCACTATGTAGCTCTGGCTGTCCTATAACTTGCTCTGTAAACCAGGCTAGCCTCAAAATCATAGAGATCCACCTGCTTCTGCTTCCTAAGAGGAACTACATTCAGTGCAGATGTTTATTTTTGTGAAACTCTTTGTCACTGTGCCTTCTATCTGTCTAGTCTGGTGTCTATTTCTCTTCGCCTGTCTTCCTTGATGTGTGAGCCTTTACCATCCTGCTTTGTTTGTCTTACTACTTTATTAGTTATTTTCTTTCAATAAGCATTTTTTGCTTAAAAGCAATCTAGGTCAGATTAATACCAACTTAATACCAATAGTACAGGAAAACCCCACTGCCACAGCTCTGTTATATACTCCTCAACATGGGCTATTATTTTTTTATATGAATTCTTTCTGGATTTGCTATAAACCCGACCACAGGTTTTCAATTATTGCTTTATATAACTGTCTTGCTTTGTTTCTGTTTTTAATTATGTGTATGCATGTGTATCTATTTGGCTGTGTGTGTGTGTGTGTGTGTGTGTGTGTGTGTGTGTACATGAATGTAGGTATCCATGGAGGCCACAAGATTGTGTCAGATCCTGCTGGAGCTAAGGTTACAGGCAGCTGAGTGGTTGCCGGGAATTGAACACGGTTCTCTGCAAGAGTACCAAGTGCTCTTAACTACTACGCCATCTCCTCACAGGCTGATAGCGACTGTTTTTATAACTCGGGTTCTGAGCTTGACGGAAGCAAGTAGAGTGGTTTCAGTCTCTGCTCTCCACTGGCAGCAGGGAGAACCATGCCGTAGCTCACGTGCAACGGAGACAGCGCACGGAGGAGAACTGGAGATGTCCCAGATAAGAGAAAACTTTCCAAGGATGGAAGTGGTGCGACAGGGGGCGCTGTTGTGTCTGCTGCTAGATGGTGCTGTCCGTGGGGGTTTGAGGCATTTCTTCTGTCTGTAATAGAGAACATCTGAGCTAAGCCCAGGGCAGAACTGCCACCTGAACGCATCTCACCATGCCTGTCCCTGTCCCGTCACATCCCTGTGACTTGGCCTTTTTTCCCACATCGGTGAATGTTTCTCTCTCTCTCTTCCTCCTTCTCCCTCTCTCTTCTCTGTCTCTCTGTCTCTCTGTCTCTCTCTCATTTTATGGGTTTTAAACTAACTTTTTAAACTTGTTTATGTGTGTGCGTGTTTTGCCTGCACGTATGCCTGTGGACCATGCGTATACTTGGCCCCCTTAGAGATGAGGAGAGGGAACCAGATGCCCTGGAACTTGCGTTACAGAAGATTTGTGAGCTATGCAGGTGCTGGGAACCCAGCCTGGCTCCTCTGCAAGAACAAGTGCTCTTAACCACCACAGTCTCTCTAGCCCTGGGAATGCTTCTTCATCAAAATCTGCTATCAAGCTAATAAGCTCAGAAACACATTTGTTTTATTCTCAGGTCTCCAAGGAGGTCAACGAAATGACCGTGAACATGCCATATCAGTGTTTCATAAACGGGCAGTTTGTGGATGCCGAGGATGGGGAGACTTACGACACCGTGAACCCCACAGATGGATCTGTGAGTAATGACAGCCTCAGGGACCACCGGCCATGAGCTCTGGGCTCGCAAGGCTGTGCACCAGGCAGGCTGAAGTCACTCAGCTCTAGCTCTGCCCCCAAGCTCCTCAAATACATTTCGTGCATTTCTTACCCCTTCCGCTCTGACACTGGCTACTGTGACCCACAGAAACCTTGTTTTAAGGAGACTGAGTATTTATGATGAATTTACTCTGTTGTGCCTGCACACAGCAGATCTCTCTGTATAGAGCTCCATGAGGGAGGGGGATACTTCAGACTCTGAGAACTCAGGGAAAACAATCCCACTTCCCTAAGGAAAAACGGCACAGCTGTCCTGAATGGGTTCTTCCGGAATAAGATGAGGCATAGGATGGACCATGATCAGGTTCAGTTTCACTGTTCTAACTTTGCCCTTTCTTTGCCCTACGTGGATTGGTTTCCTGTCATGGATTTCCCCTGCCCACCCCCTGTGTGATAAGTCACACTCTACTTTTCCTAGTAATAGAATATTGATTCCAAGAGCCACACTGATAGATCCCTTAGGAGACCTATTTTTCGCTTGCCCTGAAATAGACGATCTGCAGAGTGTCCTACGCCTCTTTAGCGGATGTGGACAAAGCGGTGGCTGCAGCCAAAGACGCCTTTGAAAATGGTGAATGGGGAAGGATGAATGCCAGAGAAAGAGGAAGGCTGATGTACAGGTATGCTTTCTGTAAAAACAACTGTGTTATCATTGGGTATTGGTTGACATTGTTAAGACTTTAAAAAAAATTCCCACAAAACATTCTATGTTGAATACACCTAGGTTAACATTGTTAAGACTTTAAAATTCCCACAAAACATTCTATGTTGAATGCACCTGAGGAAGACGTTATGTGTCTCTTGTTACTTGAGTCATATAAAATGCCACACAAGTTCCTGACGTTTGGATTACTGCTCGTATCAGTCAGAGCTCATCAAGGACTGAGTAAGATGTGGAGAACATCATGGAACCCCCACAAAGACCAGGGGAAGACAGGGCTGGTGGCAGAGAAAGTTGGTGCTTCCCCGAGGTCTGAAGAGATGGAGGAGTAGGTGATGGCTAGAACCTGGCAAGGTCTATAGTTGCAGAATAGGGCTCTAGTACCTTCTTTAGCAGCAGAAGAGTGTTCTAGAGTCCTCTGTAGCTGCATAATAGCACTCTAGAGTCTCTGCAGCTGCACACCCTTCACCACCTTCACAAATGTCCTGAGGTGTCCCAGTCACCAGGTAATAAATAGGATACATAGGTCATTCTCTAAGGTCATGGACCAGAGTAGAGAAAATGGACAAAACTGCACAAGGGGACATGCTACGCCTTGTTTTCTAAGACAAAGAAGTAAGGAGGATAGCCAGGTGGTGGTGACGCACGCCTTTAATCCCAAAACAGGCAGAGGAAGATGGATCTCTGTGAGTTCGAGGACAGCCTGGTCTATAAAAGCTAGTTCTAGGACAGCTAGGACTATTACACAAAGAAACACTGTCTCAAAAAAAAAAAAAAAGGGAAGGAGGAAAAATACCAACACTCTGGATGAATATTACAAATAAGCGAGTATTCTAGAAGTAGTTCCAATAATTTATCCTGCTTTTTGCTTACACACAGCTAAAAGTTTGGCCTGAATTGACAGACCTCTTAGATCTGGATTTAGTAGAAGCATGGAGGCTCCTGTCCAGCCAGACTCCTGAATGTCCAGAGCCACCCCAGGGACGGAAGGATGGAGGGTGTGGGAAGGACAGGGGGAATCAGGGTGGGGCATGAATACAAATGGCTCTTTTGACTATTCCCAACAATGCCACAGACCCCACTCATGTTCCTGAGGAAACCGGCAGCTTGAAGAATCTGCTGTGGGGTTGGGGATCCACTCCACATGCCTGCTTTGTCCTCTGCAGTTAGTTTGGAAACATTTCTGTAGCAACCAAAAAGCCACAAGTGTCTACGGTCCTTAGTGGGGTGCGGTTTGTGCTCTGACCCCTCCCTGTGTGATAATGAACTACTCGCTTGCTGCTGGTTCCTTTGACCCGCCACCTCCTGTCTGTGGCTGCTGTGGCTCCGCCACCACGCCACTGCTTATACCTAGGAGGCCAGGGGCACACGCTGAGGACATGGTTGGCTTCTCCCTGTAGCTTAGTGGTAAAGCACTTACCTAGCATGTGAGGTTTGGGGTTTGATCCATAGCACTGCAAAATCTGTATTAATAACCTGCTGAAATACACCATTTATACAACGATTTATTTAATTGCTGCCTTCCTAGACTATGCTCTCCATAGGGGGAGGTATGTTGCTCTGGATCAGTCTCTGGAATCGCAGTGGTAGCATGTAGAACTACCGCTAGCATATACAATTAGTGCTAGCATGTACAACTATAGTGCTAGCATGTACAACTATAGTGCTAGCATGTACAATTAGTGCTAGCATGTACAATTAGTGCTAGCATGTACAACTATAGTGCTAGCATGTACAACTATGGTGCTAGCATGTACAACTATAGTGCTAGCATGTACAACTATAGTGCTAGCATGTACAACTATAGTGCTAGCATGTACAACTAGACTAGCACATACAACTAGTTCTAGCATGTACAACTATTCCTAGCATGTACAACTAGCGCTAGCATGTACAACTAATGCTAGCATGTACAAGTAGTGATAGCATGTACAACTAGACTAGCATGTACAACTAGCGCTAGCATGTACAACTAGAGCTAGCATGTACAACTAGTGCTAGCATGTACAACTAATGCTAGCATGTACAAGTAGTGATAGCATGTACAACTAGCGCTAGCATGTACAACTAGCGCTAGCATGTACAACTAGTGCTAGCATGTAAGTGCTGAGTGGATTCCTCCCCCTGTGCACACAGACTCGCTGATCTGATGGAAGAAAACCAAGAGGAGCTGGCGACCATAGAAGCACTAGATTCCGGGGCCATCTACACCCTAGCTCTGAAGACTCACATCGGAATGTCTGTGCAGACATTCAGATACTTCGCAGGCTGGTGTGACAAAATTCAGGTAGGCACACACGCTCCTCGTCCCGAGAGGGAGGTGGCCTCAAGAGCGCTGGTTTGTGGCAGGGCTGGCCTCTGGCTCGGTGGCATCACTTCATTTCCCGTCCTCTGCGGGGGAGCAGTGTTGGATCCCCGTGCTGCAGAAAAGCAGGCAAACCCACTAGGAGCCTCCTTTAACTATTTTTCTTTCTTGATCTGTGTGTATACATGTGTTCATGCGTGCAGTGTGCATGCATGCATGTGTGTGTGTGTTTGGTGGATGTTGGGTGTCTCTTCCTCAATTGCTCTCCACCTGTTTTTTGAGACAGGGTCTCTCACTGACCCTGGAGCTTGTGGATTCGGTTAGACTGTCTGATCCGAGATCTCCAGGAGTCTGCCTGTCCTGCCTCTCCAGTTCTGGGATTATAGACATGTGCCATTTCGTGTTTTATACATAGGTGCTGGGGATCTGAACTCAGGTCATCAAGCTGACAGTATGCACTTTCCCAAGCAGGGTCATCTCCCCAGTCCTATCATAGTTCATTTGAGAAAGAAACAGCAGTTCATTCTAACACAGGAATTTATTTCCCAGACGTTGAACAGGAGAGATCAAAAAAGCATATTATCTGCGATTAAGGTTAGTAATCTAAGTTAATAAAATATCAACCTCCGTTTCCTTTAGGGCTCTACAATCCCAATCAACCAGGCCCGTCCAAATCACAACCTAACCTTCACCAAGAAGGAGCCACTTGGGTAAGAGGAGAACCTCTGGGTGATGTGGACGCTGTGCCAGTGTGGCGGGGAGCACTAAGGGCGTGGGCCTTCGAGCCTGGGGTGACGTGGACACTGTGCCAGTGTGGCGCGGGGCACTAAGGGGTGGGCCTTCGAGCCTGGGGTGACGTGGACACTGTGCCAGTGTGGCGCGGGGCACTAAGGGGTGGGCCTTCGAGCCTGGGGTGACGTGGACACTGTGCCAGTGTGGCGCGGGGCACTAAGGGGTGGGCCTTCGAGCCTGGGGTGACGTGGACATATGTCAGCGTAGGGGGGGGCACTAAGGGCGTGGGCCGTCTCCTCGCAGCGCCTGCGCCATCATCATCCCCTGGAACTACCCACTGATGATGCTGGCCTGGAAGAGCGCAGCATGCCTGGCGGCGGGCAACACCCTGGTCCTCAAGCCGGCACAGGTGAGCCTCATCAGCGGGCAGAGAGCTCCACTTGCCTGTAAGTAAACTTAACATAGACACACATCTGTGAACAGCACACCTCCAAGCTTCCCCCGGTTCACAAACAACGCTTCGTATGTTATTTGTAAATTCTCATTTTTAGAAATCGCAGGTTGGGGAGGAGCGTGTTCGTGCGTGGGCGCAGAGCTCAGGGGACGAGTCTGAGGAATTTGTTCTCTCCCTGTAAGATCTGGGAATCGAACTCGGGTCACAGGGTTTGGTGCCAAGGGCTTTGTCTATGCACCATCTTGCTGACCCCATTCACATTTAATTTCCAAAAATCTTGCAAAGGGATGGAAGATGGGGGAAAGTACAGAAGATTAACGTAGAAATTGGGCAATTGTGTTAGGTCCGGGGGTGTACAAACTTCGACTCTGTGACGTAACTCGATCATATTGGGCCACATGCACAGTCATCCAGGAGACAAATGACGGAAGGGCCACAGGTTGAACATGCCTGAAATCATGTACATGTGTGGACAACAAGGGAATGCTTAAGAACATGCCTCGGGCACTTCTCTGAGAAGCCTACGGATGCTGCAGTAGTTTCTGTATGTGTTAAGAACACCTCGTGTGACTCAGGCTGATCTTGAACTTCCCTGCACCTGAAGCTGGCCTGAAACCCAAAACATCTGGTCCTCCTGCCTCCACCACCCTAGGGCTATGATCACAGGCAGAGGCCATACCCAGCTTCGGGAATGGGTATAAGTGTTATTCTACCCATGGTGGCTTCATTCCAGGGCATAATAACACACCTTGGATCAGTCCCCTCTTCAACAACAGCGCTGTGGTAGACTAAACAACAGGCTGGCACAGTAGGCTTCTTGGCACTGCAGCAACTGCGGCTGGCTTCTCACGAGTTTCTCCAGGCGGCCCTGTCTAAGCATCTCTGTGTAGCTAAGGAATCTGTCACTAGAAGGGGGAGCAGGTGCCCTTTCTACACGTGGGCTGCGGTATTTGTCATGCTGGTTCCACGCCGGGTCTTTTGGCTACTTGTCCATTCTGTGAAGGTTGCTTCATTTAAAATAATAATAAATCTGTGATTCCATGTAGCGAGGCCTGTTGACTGCACACAGGGCAACTTTCAGGGCAGAGGAACAACTGAGTGGGACAGTGGCACAGACAAAACTAATGCGGGGACTATGGTGATCTCCCTCTCCTTCCCTGCCCTCACACAGGGAGAGAGGGAGAGGGCGAGAGAGACAGACAGACGGAGGGAGGGCAGGTCCCCCTTGATTCTGCGTGTGCCTCATTCACAGGATACTGACACCTTCTGTGACCCCCCCACCCCACCTCCATGCACACTGAACACTATTGTCCAGCCCTAAACGTGAGTCACAGATGGTTTACTGTGTATCTGCCGGTGGAAACAGAAGCTCAGATATTCTCCATACCTCCCTGGATCTTCCTGCCTACCCCACTGTTAGAGATCAAACGAGAAAAAGAAGCACACATTTAGTTAATCAGAGTTAGCATGGGGAAAAATGAGAGGATAGAGAGAACGAAAAAGAAACACAGTGAAGACTTCATATTTGGGTGTCCAGGGCGAACGAGGAATTCTCTGGACTATTTTAGCAACTTTACCATAAGCCTGAAGTTATCTTCAAATAAAAAAAAAATAACAACAAAGCAATGTAAGATACAAAGAGAATGGACTCCCAGGGGCAGGGAAATGGCTCACCGGGCGGGAGGACAAGCTTTGCCAGCATGTACACCTGAGTCTGGATCCTCAGAAGCTGTGTGGTGAGCTGGACACAGAAGGATGTGCCTGTAGCCTGAGCAGCAGTGGGGAACACGTGGATGCAGACAGATTGATTATAACTAGCTTAGCTGAAACGCCACGCTTCTGATTCAGTGACGTCTCAAGGCAATAAGGTGGACAACAGCAACATCCAGCCCTGGTTTCCATAAGTGTGCACACCCACACTCCTGTGCACGTACCTCAAGTGTGCACCACACCCACAAACGGGGGAATCAGGGCCCTGGTAAAGACAGCAGGTCTGAGGAAGGCAATGGCTGTCTTCTCTTCCAGGTCACGCCCTTGACAGCCCTGAAGTTTGCAGAGCTGACAGTGAGAGCTGGGTTTCCAAAGGGGGTCATCAACATTGTGCCGGGCTCAGGTAAACCTGCAGGGGACCAACGGGCAGCTCAGGAAGCTGAATGCTGTTTCCCACGGCAGTCTTAGCCCGAATGAACTGCGTTACAACTGAATACAGTTCACGAAGCTTAATACATTTATGGTGTAATGGAAATACAGAGTTGAAATCTAATGTGTGTGGAGCGTGGAAAGGAATGGCATTGGAAAACTGCCCTAAGGGGGCCATATTGACTTTGGAAGGTAACAATTGAGGCTTCTCCACCAATGGGCACCGCTGCATGGAGGACACTGTTTAAATCCATTTGTAATTAACACAAAAAATGTAACTGCGGGTTTGAATCTAAGCTTAGAAACCCTACTTGAGCAAACACAAACCCACCCTCCCTGCAAGATCTGAGTCGTGTCTTCCCCTTAATGAATTCTGCAGGGGGAGTCGCAGGACAGCGGCTGTCTCAGCACCCGGACATCCGCAAGCTTGGCTTCACCGGCTCCACGTCTGTGGGCAAACAGATCATGAGCAGGTACTGGCTTGCTGTGGGAAGCCCACTCAATCAGGCTTCGACCTGACTTCCAACAGAGTGTGTTGGAACGAAGAAAAGGCTGGGGATAGGGCTCAGCTGGCAGATTGATTGCCGAGGTTGCACAACGCCCTGGGTTTGATTCCTATGGGGAATCTTCATTATTTGACCACCGGATTTCTCAAACATTACAGAACACCTCTGAACTATACAAACCATGGGGAAAAAAACCACGTGAACCTACCACATTTACCGCCCAGCCACCATATCAGGTTTCTTTTCTCCCCCCCCCCCCACTCCTGAGACGCGGTTTATCTGTGCAGCAGGTCTGGACTTGCACTCGTCATCCTCCTGCCTCCACGCTCTGCACGCGGGAGCTACAGGCATGCACTGCCACGCCCTCATAAGCGAGGTTCTTCATGTTTCTGACGCTGAATTGTATTTTGCATTTCAAGTACGAACATGGTTAGGAGAGAGAGAGAGAGACACAGACGGACGGACGGACGGACGGATGGACGGACAGAATAACTGCTTGTTCCTATTTGTTCTCCTCTAGCTGTGCTGTGAGCAACCTGAAGAAAGTCTCCCTGGAGCTGGGCGGCAAATCCCCACTTATAATATTCAATGACTGTGAACTTGACAAGGCCGTGAGGATGGTAAGTGGGCCCAAACCAGGCAGAAGGCGCCTAGATCTACAACACGCTTCCTCTCCTTTGTGGGAGGCCTTCAGATGGGATCTAGTTGAGCTGGTCAGAAGCAAATGTCATCTTTGTGTTTATCCTAGGGATGCTTAATTGCTTTAAATGGCTTTTTATAAAATCTCCCTCCTGTCTGATAGCACCTTGTCTCCTTCATCCCTCTTCTGGTCTTAGAAACCAGGCTCTGGCTAAACTCTTTAAAGAAACTCAGCAAAGGGTTTGCCTCCATGCCTAACACCCAAGTTCCATTCGCAGACTCACAAAGTGGAAGAAAAAACCACCTCCTGCAAGTTGACCTCTGACCTTCATACACGTTAAAATATTTATGCACCTGCCTCCAAAATTTAACATGTAAAATATTTCTAAAATAAGGAGAAAAGTAGTTAGCAGGGCTTGCCTTTGCCTGCAATGGAAGTCAGGGTTTGATTCCCAGCACGTCATAAACTGGGCATGGCGGTACTCATCTATAAACCCTGCACAGGATCATCTTAGGTGTATCCTCATTGTCACACATTTTAAATAAGTGCTCACGAGCTGCAACTGGGAAAAGTCAAAACAACTATCTCCTGGCAGTTGCTAAGAGTCACTAACAATCTACAGGACTGTCTCCAGTCTCTGTTACCGTGGCACTTGCATAAAAACAGGTGGGGGCAGGGCAGAGGGCTCAGTCAGTACAGCAAGTGCAAAAACCAGTATCTGGATTCACAGCACCCACACTAGATAAGGCAGTGTGGACCCGGAGTCCCAGCACTGGGAGGTGGGAGCATCCCTGGAATTCACTAGCCAGCCAGTCCAGATAGTCAGCAAGAGACCCTGACAAGAAAAAAAAAAATTAAGACATGGAGAACAACCGAGAAACACATGTGGTGTTGACCCCATTTCCATGTGCACACACACATGAACATGTTCTCACACAGAGTGCTGCCCTCTCTGTGTGATGGGATGACCAGCTGACCTGAGCAATACTAACGTGGCTTTCTCCTCTGTTGCTGAAGGGCATGGGTGCAGTGTTTTTCAATAAAGGAGAGAATTGCATTGCGGCGGGACGGCTGTTTGTGGAAGAGTCCATCCACGACGAATTCGTAACCAGGGTGGTAAGGCATCTTAGATCTGCTGCGGGTTGTACATGAACAGTTCTCTGGAAAAGCACTTCTGGGATTATTCCTGAATTTTAGATGTGAGATAGCAATGGCGGTATTGTAATAGTTGAGATGGCCAGGGGTGCAGATGGTTCAGTGACTACTTAACACACACATGGCCCTGTGTTCCAAGATACACACACACTTAATACACACACATACATGCACATGCATACATACACACACACACAGTGCACTGGCACATACCTGTAATCCCAGGGCTGGACAGGCAGTAGACACAGACAGAGGCCAGGGACTAACGAACAAAACACCATAGACTGACCAGCAGGCTTCGGGCAAAGGAGAAACTCAGCCTCAAAACACAGGTGAAGAACACCTGGGGAAAAACAGCCAGGTTGTTCTCTGGCCTCCACCTGTGCGCGCACACACACACACATTCACCTGCATACACACAAATACAGACACATAAACAAACACACAAAAGCAGAGGCATCCTTTCTTCACAAAGAGCATGATACGTTTTTTAAGAGGCAGGTCGTGGGGAGTCAGTGGGCAGTAGTCACTGACTCCTCAGCCTTACAGAGTAATTTACTTTGTGTCTCATTAGAATCCAGTCCGTAGTATAAATGTACAGAGGCTCATAAGATCTGACACATGAGACATTTTCAAAGCAGAGACCAGAAACATCAAGCACTTGCTTTATTGGTCCAGTACAGGACTGTTTTCTACAAGGGCAATTTTGGTATTCATTCATCGTGTTTCCTTTTTTAAGACTTGGATGAGCAGGATTTCACTGTGTAACCTACCTAACTGGAAGCTTGCTATGTAGACCAGGCTGCCCTCAAACTCAAGAGATCTACCTGCTTCTGGGTCCCAAATGCTGGTAGTAAAGATGCGCACCAACACAACCAGATAAGATTTATTTGTAACTGTGTGTGTGTGCACCCTGAAGGTCAGAGGTGGTTGTGAGCACCTGGTGTGGGTACTAAAAACCAAACAGATCTTCTGCAAAAACAACATGCATTCCTATCCTCTGATCCATCTCTCCAGCCCTCAACAGCTAAGTGCTGAGGCTGGGTATTGACAATACAGAACCAATAGGCAGCCAGGGTCACCATCTTCTGGGCATTGACAATACAGAACCAATAGGCAGCCAGGGTCACCATCTTTTGGGCATTGACAATACAGAACCAATAGGCAGCCAGGGTCACCATCTTCTGGGCATTGGCAATACACAACAGGCAGGCAGCCAGGGTCACCATTATGCAGAGCCTCTCTACAGCACAGGGTTAGCATGGCACCAAGAGATCAGTAGCAGATCTATATTAAAGCTCACGGGGTCATGGTGTCCTCCGTCCTTTCTCCTCGTTGAGCTGGAGTTACAGCCGGAAAACGACACAGAGGATGACCAGGATGAAAAGTAGCACACATGGTGTGCCAGGAAAAAGCAGTGCGGCACTTCTCACCAAAACATTCCATCCTGGCTACAGGCCAGGTCAGCCCTGGTTACACAGGGGATTAAAGACAGCCTGGGCTACATGGTGTCTGTCCCCCCCCCCCAAATAAAACAACAAAACAACAACAACAACAAAAAAACCTCAAAACAAAAACAAAACCATTCCAGCAATTCTTCCAGCCTGGCTGTCTCACGAGAGTCTCACAAGGGCGCTCTACCACATTTAAAGAGGGGAAAACACCAGAAATTCTTTTGCCATCAAGAGTCTAAGACATTAATGAAAATTCGAGAATGTCACTTTGCTCTTCATGGGTTAAAATTCAAGATTTGGATACACAGCACTGGGCTTGTATTGTGAGAACATAGTACTTAGGGACTTGACCTTCAAAGTCACAGTGTAGCGTGACTGTGTGTGATGAGACAAACCATTTAACTCCTTCGGGGCCTTGGTTTCGCCTTCTGTAACATGGAAACATTGAAGACTTACCTCCAGTGCAGCTGGAAAGAGCCAACCACACATCTGTCAACCGCTCAGGACACCATGACACAAATAAGACACATAGAACACGTGACTGATAACACTGCTACTACTAACGGCGACTGTGTTTTGTGGATTGGGTAAAATACAGGTGGAAGAGATTAAAAAGATGAAGATTGGTGATCCGCTGGACAGATCTACGGACCACGGGCCCCAAAACCACAAAGCCCATCTAGAAAAGCTGCTGCAGTACTGTGAAACTGGGGTGAAGGAAGGGGCCACCCTGGTATACGGAGGACGACAGGTGCAGCGGTCAGGTAAGAGCGTCTTTGGGGAAGTGCCTGGTGCCTGCCCCCCACCCAAAAGCCAGAATGGATGGTATTGACTTCTATTTCAGTGCTTCCCTTGCAGAAGAGTGGTGTGTCTGTGTGTGCACACACACGTGTGCTTATGAATACAGGTGTGGCATGTGTGCCTATGTGTGTGTGTGCCTATGTTTGTGTGTATGTGCAATGTATGTATGTGTGTGCGCAAATGGGCGCATATCTGTGTAGGTACAGCTTGTGTGTGTTTTTTTGTGTGTTTATTTTTATTTGTTTTTTTTTTTTTTTTATTTGTGTTTGTACGTGTTTGTGCACATGGGTGCATATGCGTGTAGGAGCAGTGTGTGTTTGCCTATGTGAGTGAATATGTATATGTGCAGTGTATGTATATACATGTGTATGTATGTTTTTACATGTGTTGGTGCACTTGGGTGCTTATCCATGTAGGTGCAGCATGTGTGTGTATATGTGCAGCATATGTATATACATGTATTGTGTGTGCGTGTTTGTGCACCTGGGTGCATATGCGTGTAGGTGCAGTGTGTGCATGCAGTTTTCACCTGCTGTCAAGACGGGGCTTGATATGTTGATCTTCAAAAGCAGACAACTACTGTTTGGACTGTTACTGTACACCGGCTCTTTATTTTAAATGACGGCGATTGCAAGAAAAATCAAAGTATTTATCCTGTGTTCCCTGGATGAGCTGAGTTTCCAGAATCCTGAATAGGTGGTACAGGGACATTTCCAGAAAAGAATTGTTGTAAATCAAAAGAATAAAAAAGCCGGGTGGTAGTGGCGCACGCCTTTAATCCTAGCACTAGGCAGGCAGAGGCAGTCAGATCTCTGAGTTGTAGGCCAGCCTGGTCAACAGACTGAGTTCTAGGACAGTCAGAGCTACATAGAAAAAAACCTTGTCTTGGGAGAAGGAAAAAAAAAAAGACAGAGTAGAAAAATCACTGCTTTGCATTTCTCTTGATGAAAATCACTGATTCAGGGAGAAAATGGTGGTCCATGGAGACGGGAGTCCTTAGACCAAGGCACTGGCAGCTGGAGAGGGATAAGGCATCTACTGCACTGCTGCTCTTGCACAAGACCTGGGTTGACTCCCAGCACCTACACGGGAGCTCACAGCTGTAACTCCAGTTCCAGAGGACTTCTGATCTCCGTGGGCACCGAGCAAGAGCACAGTGTGCACGCATGCAGGCGAACACATAATTTTTAAAAAAAAAAAAAACACCATTTTTATTTTATATGTATGTGTGTGGAGCCTGTATGTGGGCCTGTGTATCACATGCTTGCTTGGTTATGTGTGTGTTGAGCCTGTATGTGGGTCTGTGTAGCACATGCTTGCTTGGTGTCTGTGACAGTCAGGAGAGGGTCTGTACCTCCGGGGACTGCAGTTCCAGGTACCACGTGGGGCTGGGAATCAAACCCGGGTCTTCTGGAAGAGCAAGTGCTCTTCACCACTGAGCCATCTTACCATGCCCAAGGGATTTTTTTTTTAAAGGAATATATGATATAGAAAAAGAAATGACACCTTAACAAAGCAACGTCAAATTAAAAATGCTAAGATATTCAACAATAGAGCCAGGTAGGGTGGCATACAACTTAACTCCAGCACTTGAAAACCTGAGGCAGGATGGAGGTTCAAGACATGTCAGTGGGGAAAAAACAACAACTCAAAAGTGCTGAACTATGAATATATATTAAATACATACTCTCCTCTTACATCCTTGAGCTTTCCACAATAGTCATGTAAAAAATGAGCATCCAGGAAGGCTCCTGCTACACAGAAGACGGTTCTCTTCTTTAGATAAGCCTGGGGTGGGGGCTGGACTACCTCAGTAAACTGGGGATGAAACGACCTCGCCTGTGGCTGATGCGTCTATTCTTCCTCCCAGGCTTCTTCATGGAACCAACTGTGTTCACAGACGTCGAGGACCACATGTATCTCGCCAAAGAGGAATCCTTCGGGCCTATCATGGTCATTTCTAAGTTTCAAAACGGGTGTGTTCCCTACGCACACTGTGTAATAGGGGTTTCAGCGAGATAACTCCTCTGCCTGGTGCTGTCCTTAGAGAATGCATTCAGTGGGCGTGCAAGTCTCCACCCTAAGAGTAAACGAACTGGCTAATAAGTTAGAAGCACCTGGGGGCTGGGAGACAGCTCACTGGGTGAAGGGCTTCCTGGGCAAAGAAGAGGGCTGGAGTGCAGATCCTAGCACCCACTTAGGAGGGAGGTCTGGCACCATGGCAGATGCAAACTCAGAACTGAGCAGAGACAGGAATGTCATCCCACAAGCCAATCCAGCCTGACTGGTGAGCTACAGGTTTAATGAGAGACCCTGTCTCAAAAGCTAAGGAGACAGAGTAGCTGCATGTGGGGAAGACAGGAGAGCTTTGGGGCTGGACAGTTCTGAAGAGGGGTGCACACAGGAAAAAAGGCTCCGAAAATTGGCAGAGGAAGCACACAAATGATCCCTGCAGACTAAAAAAGATGATGCTGGTGAAATAGGAAGAGATACTCCCCAACCTGTGTGGAGAGTGGAATACTCTCCCTGCATATTTAATGGTGTTTTCTGCTTCTGGAAATATCTCACAGGGACATCGATGGAGTTCTGCGCCGAGCAAATAACACCGAATATGGTTTGGCCTCTGGGGTTTTCACGAGAGACATCAATAAGGCCATGTACGTAAGTGACAAGCTAGAGGCGGGAACGGTTTTCATCAACACCTATAACAAGACAGACGTGGCCGCCCCTTTCGGCGGAGTGAAGCAGTCTGGCTTCGGGAAGGACTTAGGTGAGTGCAGCCTATTTTGCTTCTGGACATCCACACTGCACCACACAGAAACATTATTTCCAGGCCACCCCACTCCCTTATTACTTTAAAGGAGATCTCCTACACAGCAGTTTACGAAGGAAACTGAAATTCTAAAAACCACTAAGTACATTTGAAGAGAACTACAACTGTTTCTGTTCATGTGTACGTGTGTCATGTCACACATGTGCTCGGAGGAAAACTGTCCATGTTGGTTCTCTCCTTTCACCCCATGGATCCTGGAGATTTAACACAGTCCATGGGGCTTGCTTGAGAAGGGCCTTTCCCCACTCAGAAATCTCTTAGGTCAATTGTTTTAGCTATAACGTGTTTTGAAATCTGACTTTCAGTATGAAGTTGGTTTTGTGGAACTCAGTGGAACCAAGACGACAGTCTGGGGGGGGGGTCAAAGTAGCTCTGGGGTTGGTCCTCTCTGTGAGTCTTGCAGAGTCACTGAGATAAGCAGGGACTCCTGGGCACGCAGGGCCTCCAGGAACAGAGAACACACGATGCTGGACGCAGTTCACGGTCAGCAATGGTCTGGATGCTGAGGTTGTGCTGGGCCCTCGTGTAAGACTTTACCTGATGAGCACAAGTGAGGGAACCCAGCAGACAGCTACTAGGATGCCATTGTTCTGATCAGGAGAACCGGGCCTAGAAAAGGGGGATGAGGTGCCCAGTTCCACACAGACAGGCGCAGACAGAGAAGCAAAAGTCACTCAATCCAACTGCAGATCTCATCTCCTACTCTGTAGTCCTCCATTGCTTAAAAGTATAAAAATACACATTAGGATGGGAGAGCATGGTATGGTGGTTCAGGCCTGCAACCCAGCACTTAGGAGCACAGGAGACAGGAGGATCAGTTCAAGAGCATCCTTGGCCAAATAGCAAATTGGAAAACAGCCTAGGCTATGTGAATCTCAAAACACTCTAAAATAAAAATACTTGATTTGCTGAAACTTCCCTGCAAATTTGGCTCATTTAAGGCATTAGATTCTGTTTCCTAGAGATTTTTGACAATGTATTTATAGGAATAAAAAGTGGTTTGGGTCTAAGACACAGTTGCAGGTTTTCTTGGGAATGTTTGTTATAGAACTACTTGTTTTTGTTCTCTGACAGTGTAACCGGCAGCTAAAGGCTTGTTTGACTATAAAACAAAACAAAATGCCTCACGGTTCTGACACGACTGAAGGCTCCTTGGCTCAGTGTAGGCTCAATCTCGGCAATCGTAGGTTGTAGTTGCCTAGGGGCTGTAAAATATCTGATCTGATTGCTCTGGAGAAGGCTGGGAACAAGTTTGTCATCCTTCCTCATTGCTCAAATGAGGGAACAAGTTTGACAGCCCTCTACCATGTTCCTCAGACTCCTTGTGACACCTGCCCTTGGCCTGTGTACCCTCTGTCTACTGTGTTCAGACTCCTTGTGACACCTGCCCTTGGTCTGTGTACCCTTTGTCTACTGTGTTCAGACTCCTTGTGGCACCTGCCCTTGGCCTGTGTACCCTCTGTCTACCATGTTCCTCAGACTCCTGGTGTCATCCCGTCCTTGGCCTCTGTACCCTCTGTCTACCGTGTTCATCAGACTCCTTGTGGCACCCTGCATTGTGGCACCTGCCCTTGGCCTCTGTGCCCTCTGTGTACTGTGTTCAACAGACTCTGTATGACATCCTGTCCTTGGCTTCTGCACCCTGTCTACTGTGGTCATGAGACTCCTTGGGGACTCCCTGGCATTGGCCTCCTGTAACTTTGGCCACTGTTGAGATCACTTGTCTGGAAGCAGGTGAAGCCAAGATGTGGTCTTCCCTCTCCGCCAAGCAAAGGAAACTGCACTTCCAGTCCCCTCTCAGCGAACGTCCCCAAGTTTTCCTCCCTGTACTCAACTCTGCTTTATTTAATGCAACTGAACAAACAGCACCCTGGCCACAGGACCACAAAACAAAGAAACAGAGTTCATCAAGCAGGGAACAGGAGGAAGGTTAGGGCTGAAGTTCACCAACCAACGCTCCAATCCCTGAAGGCCCTGGTAGGCTTCTCGAGCCCTCACTACTCATCACGGGCTATGATACACTAGCATCCACACTGTGAGGACTGTTAGCGATGCCTAACATCAGGGGCTTCCCCTAACTTACTTCAAGGCTCTCTAATATCTCGTGTGAACCTAAGCAGCACAGGCCTAGGCCACAAGGCCTTACCCATCCTTGTGTGTGTTCTACTGCCTACTCTTCTCTCCCCCAGGTGAGGAAGCCCTGAACGAATACCTCAAAACCAAAACGGTGACGCTGGAGTATTAGAGCAACACTAGCATCAGGAGGCCGTTGACCAACAGTTGCTGATGAACAAGGAACAATCTGGGAGCCACAAAAATATACAGAAGGACCAAGAAGACCAAAAAGAAGATTGCACCACTCGTGCGGCCATTTGCCTGAGTGTTGGGCCTCTTGGGGAGCATTTGAACAAGGACCGCAATAAATTCCAGTACACATCTTTCTTATCACCGAATGTCTTACCTCTGTCAGGATTAACAACGCTGGTTATTGTTTGTATTTCTAAAGTGTGGGAGTCCGCTATCTCCCAGGAAGAACTATTCTCTTCAAGGCCATCCTTCCTGAACACACTGACTTCACTCAGCTATAATATACAGGACTTCTGGGTCTCTAATCCCTGAGCCATACATACGGGATACCGACGATTATTTCTTTACTTTTGCTATCAAAGAACAGGGTATCCCCATAGAATGTGACGGCTGTCCTTTTCATTCCCATAGTAAAGCGATCTTGGTGCCTTTGACTATTCTGTTGCCCATCATGACATGACAGAGGAGCACCCAGGAACCCTACCTCTAGAACAAAGTTAACAAAGTTAAGTTCTGAGGACACCAAAATTACTCACATTGTTTTTGGTCCTATAATTTAAACCCCAGTAAACATCTTTCCAGGCAAATTTTGGGAGGTAAACAGCGTGAGACAGCCAATCTTAGTCGTAATAGACTGCCTTACTGTCTGACTGGGAAAAAAATGACCCAACTTCTCTGAGCTATGTGTTCCTTGTTTGTAAAAAGGGGACTGCAGTGCCTTCTCAGAGCCCTGCCTACAAGGACTCCGTGCAATAAGCAAAACCCCACCACGGTGCATCACTGAAAATAGTCAATTGAAGTCTTTCTTTCAGTCACTACTTTAGAAGTAGTTAATTGGCTGCATGAGGGAACTTCTTAGAAGGCTCACTAATCAGCGAAGCCAATTGATGGGTAAATGAACTACCTACACTTCTCAGTCATCACTGCTTGGACTCCTCTTCCCGCCCATTTTCCTCACATACAGCATGCGACAGTACAAGCCACATACAGTACAACACGTCACATACAGTACAATGTGACAACTGTCGTGCCGTGAAAAACGGTGCTCATGTGCAATAGTTCACATCTGTAACGCCAGACTCAGGAGGCCAGGACAGGATGACCGCTGTCACTTGAGGTCAACCTGGACTATGCAGAAAGCTCGAGGCCAGCCTGGGTATCAAAAACAGAAACAAAAGCCAGACTTTAAAATGTCAATGGCACCAAGGAAAGCATCGCCTTTTCCATGGCTTTCCTCCTGGCTGCCTACTCACCCCCTCACGGGACACTCTTGCGTCCCACTCTTCTACCTGCCGGCTCTGCTGCTCGCTGGCTGTGAATGTCAGGCAGGTTGGCGACCTAAGGTCTCCATGGCTGCATTTGGTGTATGAAAGACGGTGAGGAACGAACACCGTGACTTATTTGGATAGTGATGGCCTGCATTTGCCAAGCATCTGCATGACATCATTTAAGAGCTGGCCGCTGCTCCTGTGTGGTGCTCACATTGTATCCCGCTGTGACTCGGGTTAAACTACTGCTTCTGACATGTAACCAGATAAAGGAGACTTCGTGGTCACATCAGTTAGCTTCACTTACATCTTCCTTTTGAAGTGCAACTTCTGAGAAGTACTCGCTCCTTAGGAGACTACACAGAGGTGTGTAGGAATAACACTAGAGGCAGAAAACGTTCCCAAGGAAAGACCCTGCCTTGACCAACGCAGGAAACGCTGCCATCCAGC